AATAGGTAGGGAAAAAGCCCATAGAAACGTGCTTTTAAAAGGAATAGAGAAAAAAATTGTAAAGGCCTTTGATAAACTGTATTAACTTCTACAAAAAAATAATTCTGGGCACATGGCTGCAAAAATATTAACTACTATCTGCACTGCAGGAAAAGGAAATTCAAAAGATGATGTAAAGGCTGCACCCCTCCTCAGGGGTGATTCCCCAGTGAGGTTACTGAGCCCAGTTAGAACTGGGGTAAATTTATTCAGCCTGTTCTTGCAGACTCTGAAATGCTGATTAACACTACCTTAATTGCTATAGAATCTTCAGTTGCTCCAGTATCCTGGGTATTTCATCTGTCAGTCACATAATAGCATATCATTATTTTTTGGTATATCATTCTTACATGCACTTGCTGCTGGCTGAACTTTAATTTTTAATCTCAATGACACTAGGGTAAATACAGGGCAAACTACTCATCTGAAACCCCTAAGAATAGATTTAGGCTACTTTCCACTGTTGCATCTTCACTTTTAGAGGAACTTCCGCCTTGAAGGCTCTGTTCTGAGTCTTAGCTGAAGCCAATAAAACTGAGTCTTAAACTAGTTCATTGTCCAGAAAGCTACTGCTGATGGAAGGGTTAGTAGTGACACAGTCATTAGCATTGTCACAGGTCATTGCTGAAATTTTGCAGTGAAATTTCTATGTCATCAGAGGTAGCTCAGTGTGCGACATGACAGCTTCAAAGAAGAATCTTTATAAAATATAATATTTTAAAAAAATTATAATTAAACCCACTTTGCTTCTAAAATTTGAAATCCAAACATTTGACCTGATATGAAATCAGACAGTTTGCAGTGGGGTGGGAGATGTTCTAGTGGGCTAAGTATAGAACTAAGTTCGACAACACAATAGACTGGTGCAGACTGATCAGAAACAAAGGTGTATGTGGTTAAGGCCTTGGCTACACTTACCCGGTAGTTCGGCGGCGAGCGATCGAACTTCTGGGTTCGACTTATCGCGTCTAGTCTGGATACGATAAGTCGAACCCGGAAGTGCTCGCCGTCGACTGCGGTACTCCAGCTCGGCGAGAGGAGTACCGCGGAGTCGACGGGGGAGCCTGCCTGCCGAGTGTGGACCAAGGTAAGTTTGAACTAAGGTACTTCGAACTTCAGCTACGTTATTCACGTAGGTGAAGTTCCGTACCTTAGTTCGAATTAGGGGGTTAGTGTAGACCTGGCCTAAGTGATATAAGTTGCACTGATTTGGCGTTCAGTGAGAGTGCAAAATGAGTACAATTTTCTGTCTGGGAGAATCAAAGGAAGCAGTAGGTGGCAAGGGAATTAGCAGGAGTGTGTAAGATAACTTAACCTTCTTGTTAGTTGCTTTTCTGCTCATTTCTGACCCCTCAATATGTACATTGCCCACCTACTGAATGCAAAATTGGTGCAAGGTATACTATTGATATTTCTATCTGTTAACATACTTCAGCACATATGTCATTCTTAAACTCAGGCTTCCATGAGAGTTCCTTCTTTTTAGTTTACCTTGCTTACTGAATTGAGCCCAGTACTTTGGCCCAGTTAGGCCTCACAATGCCCCATTAAGTAGGAATCCTCACCTCCATGTGACAGATGGGGAAACTAAATCAAAGAGCAGTTAAATGACTTCCCCATGGTCACACAGCAAATCATTGGAATAAAATCCAGGTTCTTAATCCTATGCCTACCCCCGCTATTCATTAAGGAAGCAATATGTGCTGCGCCATCAGCGTCCCCTCCGCCGAATTGCCGCTGAAGCCGCAGGACCGGCGGACCTCCCGCAGGCATGCTGCCGAAAGCTGCCTGCCTGCCGCCTGCCTGCCACCCTCACAGTGACCGGCAGGCCGCCCACCGTGGCTTGCCGCCACAGGCACGCGCTTGCTGCGCTGGTGCCTGGAGCCGCCCCTGGCTTTGGGTCAGGCCTTAGTGACAGACTCCAAATTGATAGACATGATAGAGAAGAAAACAGATTGCCCTTTGCATCTAGCGTGTAACACAGACACGGCACAATGCTGTGAACTGCGTCGTCTTAAAGCAGCAGCATCTCTGGGTCAGAACAGCAGGAAAGGGTCTTTTGAATTCTTATTGTAAACTAGTTTCCAAATGATTTTCCAGAATTAAATATTTTATGATATACAAAAATTTGCCAAGCATGAAGATGATACGTACTGTTCCCAGGAGGTCAATTTTTATCCTGCAATTCTGGCCTGATGCCTAGAGTACATCAGCATATTTCCAGAGCTATGAGGAGGCCTGTTACAGGGGCATGCTTTGAACATGGTGAGGACAAACAGAATGACACTTACTGACGTTTGCACAGAAACCTATCAGAAGGGTCCTCAGATTGCTTCTCAAAAAGTCAAGACAGCTTAGTTATGAATCTATCTCAAGTGATCTGTGCATTGCTCAGCCTAGGAATAACTTAATCCCTTATGTCCGTGGGTCTCCTGGGCCCATTACTATTTAATATCATATTTTGCAATTGGGCAACAGAGGGTTTGTGACTGAAAAGAAATTTCTGTTGAGGACACAGGATTAGATGAATCCTTGAATCTTAATGGATTCATACATCATTTGTATGAATCTGAGTGCAAAAAACAAAAAAACTTTTTTACAGTACTGAAAATTACTGGAATTCTTCAGGCTGTTTTCACACCCCCCCCCCCCCAGAGACTTCTGCCCCTTCAGCTTCAACCCACTGCTCCTCCTTCACTTCACAACCTTTCTCCCAACCCCTTTCTGGCTCCCTCCTGAATCTACACGACACCTTCCATCTGTCTCCCACGAAATCAAAATCCATATTTGGTATCCAAAGGAACCTGGAAGAGCATGCCTAGCAATGTGATGAGTCCATAAAATGTGAATTTCTCACATTCATGAGGGGACAGTAGCTTTCTGATTTAAGAGCATCCCTCACTCGCCACTGGTGAGGCCACATCTGGAATATTGTGTCCAGTTTTGGGTCCCTCACTACAGAAAGGATGTGGACAAATTTGAGAGTGTCCAGCAATTACGGGGCTGGGATACATGACTTATGAGGAGAAGGTGAGGGAACTGGGCTTATTTAGTCTGCAGAAGAGAAGAGTGAGGGGGATTTGATAGCAGCCTTCAACTACCTGAAGGGGGGTTCCAAAGAGGATAGAGCTAGACTGTTCTAGTGGTACCAGATGACAGAACAAGGAGCAAGAGTCTCAAGTTGCAGTGGAGGAGGTCGAGGTTCGATATTAGGAAAAAACTATTTCACTAGGAGGGTGGTGAAGCACTGGAATGGGCTACCTAGGGAGGTGTTGAAATCTCCGTCCTTAGAGGTTTTTAAGGCCCGGCTTGACAAAGCCCTTGCTGGGATTGGTCCTGCTTTGAGCTGGGGGTTGGACTAGATGACCTCCTGAGGTCTCTTCCAACCCTACTCTTCTATGATTCTATGACTGTAGCACTTCTGTAGGAGAATAGTCCTGAAGGCTGATTTCACAAGGATAGAGCCCTAAGCACTTTATGATTATTATTTAACAGAAAGCGTGGTGTTCCCTAAATACTGAAGCTCATATTCTACATAAAATGTCATTATCAACTCTTCTACAGAATAATAATCTGTCATTGTTTTCTCAAAGGTCTTTTTCATATAAGTTTTGCTTTTGAAATACTCAATTTAAGTTGCTATAACTATAATAAAGGTGATCTAGCCTTATTACAAAATGCATCTAACTGTACCCAAACATTTCTGTAGTAAATCCTCCTTACACAATATCCAGTTTCAGTATCAAGTTCAGACAAAGCGATACTTCCCAACCACAAATTGCTGACATCTATGAGAGATAAACAGGGGATATACCACCTTCACATCAAAATGACTTCTGTGATTGATATGAGGTTTTAATATGCCATATGAGGAATTTTCCTAATTATGCTGAATTTACGGTATAATCTGTAAAGGTGTGGACACCTACAGGCCCTTTGGAAGTGAGCAGGAGGTTTAGGTGCTCAGTTCTTACAAAAAAAAAATCAAGCCATTTTTAACTGTGTATCTTGGTATGCATCCTATTATTTTCTTTCTACCGGTTAGCTGACAAAGCGTCATTCGGACTGTAAAACTGAGCAATTACAAGCATTACAGAGAAACAATGATGAAGGATATTATTTGTGAGCATTATTAATGATTATTTCTGCCCCTTTGCCAAATAGCTGTAGCAAATGTCTGAGGTCTTGCAGATTGTCTTCTCAGTGTAGGAGAAGCGGGGGATGTGAATCTGGGTATATTTTAAGAATAACTTTATTTATACCAGTCCTGGAACAGAGGGGTTTATCAGCATGCAGACAATCCCTTCTTTCAGCAGTGTCAGCTCGACATCCAGGGAGCAACTCTACCTCAAGAATTGATTTTACACAACAACCTTTACCCAGAACCTTGCATAAAAAAACCTTCACACCATGTCTTCCCAAGACCGAAGATTTGCTCACACTAAGTGTGTCTACACTGCAATCACAGGGTGTAATTACAGCTTGAATAGGCATACCCAAACTAGCTTTATTCTAGCTATCTCAGGTCCCAGAGCAGTGAAGTTGTGGCAGTGCGCACTGTATAAACCCACCTGGAGCCCTACATAATTGCTAGCCTGCACCAAAGCACGTGTGCTGCTGCAGCTTCACTGCTCCAGAACCAGAGTTTAGCTAGATTACAGCTAGTTTGGGTACATCTGCTTGAGCTGTAATCACACCCTGGGACACCACACCTATAGACATACTCCCCGAAAAAGAATTTGGATGACTATGTAGCAGCATCACCTGGTGACCTCAGTTATAACAGTATTATTGTGATTATTATTAATTATTATTATTGAGATATCCCCTACAGGCAGAAGGCCCCATTTTTCTGGGAAACAAACAAGAGACGGCCCCTGCCCCTAAGAACTCACAATCTAGATATAAGACACCATATGAATATAAAGGACATGCAAGAGGACAGGAGAAAGGATACTGACCTGATACCACGCACATCTCCTGGCATTCTTCTAGTGTTATGAAGTTGTTCTCATTGCCATGGCATCCACCGTATTCAAACATCTCACATTGGCGGGTTTGAATGTTGAAGTAATACCTTGTATATATTGCTTTACACTCACCGCCATCTGCCTTAAAAGCACAGATTGAATTTCCTAGCTTCAGTGGTGGTAAAGCAGCACCTATGATGGTGGAGAGAAAGGTAGTATGATACTAAATGTTTTACAGTTAGTTTGGGAATTTAGCAATATATCTTCAATGGGATTAGAGATTTAAACATTGGCCCAGATTAGAGATTTGACCCCGAGACCATTTTACCTTTGCTCTGTCCCTTGCCCTTGCTCCTGCACTCTTTGAAAGGCATGGCACAATATTAATTAATTAAT